GCAGCCCTTCGTGGCCCCCTCGCTGCCCTTCGTGGCCCCGTTGCAGCCCGTCGTGGCCTCCTCGCTGCCCTTCGTGGCCCCATATATGTATACCCTTCGTGGCCCCCGCTCGTTCGCGCCCGTCGCGGCCCCATATGCATGCCCTTCGTGGCCCCGCTGTCGCCCTTTGTGGGCCCCTCGCTACCCTTCGTGGCCCCGTTGCTGCCCTCAGTGGCCCCGTCCTTGCTTTCCGCGGCCCAATATACGTATGCCCTTCGTGGCCCCCGCTCGTTCGCGCCCGTCGTGGCCCAATGTGCATGCCTTTCGTGGCCCCGCTGTCGCCCTTCGTGGCCCCCTCGCTGTCCTACGTGGCCCAGTTGCTACCCTCAGTGGCCCCGTCGTTGCCTTCTGTGGCCCCGCATTATCTGCCCTTCGTGGCCCCCGCTCGTTCGTGCTCTTCGTGGCCCCATACGCATTCCCTTCGTATCCCCGCTGTCGCCCTTGTGGCCTACTTCGTGCCCTTTGTGGCCCTGCTGTCGTTCTCTCTCTCGCTTTCGGTTTCGCTCGTCGTCGTCGCCGCCGCCGCCGTCGTCGTCGATGTCGTCGTCGTCGTCGACGTCGTCGTCGTCGTCGTGGTCGGTCCCCTGTCCGTCCCTCTTGGGGTCAGGTTGCCGCCGGTCAGCCTTGCCGATGGCCAGGCCGACGGTCCGCGGCCGCCCCGCCGCTTGCCAGTGCGCGGCCTTCAGGGAAGAAAGGTATAACCCCCAAAAGGTGTACGATCGAAGACGAAGAGGGCGGGTATCGAGGGTTTGGGAAATACGCGTTAACGGACACTCGGGTAGATAAGAGCGAACAGTCTTAAGTTATTGTTGTTGTTGAACTCTCATTCTTGAGTCTAGTAATTGTTAACCCCTCCACCGGTGCACATTGTATTTGATCAAATGAAGCGCCCCCTTTGGGGCTCGCACATCAGGGAAGTTGTCCTGCTCAAACTGTGCTGTTGGCCCCCGATTTACAACAACAGCGACTCCCGCTTGACAGTTCCTCACAATGTATTTCAACATCGCGCTCTCGCGTGGGACTTCCTCACACTAGATGCAGGGATCGCGCTCTCGCATTGGACTTCCTCGCAACTTATTCAAACGCCGCGCCCTCGATGCTCAGGAATCGTGCCCTCGCTCTGGTTATTCTAACGATTCCCTTGACAATCACGCTATCGCTTGAGACTTCCTCGCGATTCATGTAGTACTCACGCTTCAGCAACCCGCCTCTTCCACCTGGCCGCTTGGGTCCGCCTTCCCGACCCGCACACTAGAGTCTACCCGCCACATCAGCCGGTCTGATTTTGGCCACGTGGTTTCTCTTCCTAGCCCCCCTTCCTGCTAATCCCGTGCTCCATCCTTTTGCCTCCCCCTTCCATCCGTCTTCTCTTTCCATGTTTGGGGGGCTGCACCAATTGCACACGGCCAAGAAGGAAGATATACCCTCAGGGCGATACGATCGAAGACGAAGAGGGCGGGTATCGAGGGTTTGGGCCATGCGCGTTGAATGGCACGCGGGCGGGTAAGAGTGAAGAGTCTTAAAGTTATTGTGATCGCTGAATGTTCATTACTGATATATAACGGTTCAAGACTCCTCCAATAGGTGCACATTTTATTTCCTCAATTGAAGTGCATCCCTCGGGGTTCGCACCCTGTATTGCTTATCAAGGAAAGTCTTCCTGCTTAAACTGCGTTGCTGTCCCCCCGGCTACAACAACAACCATTTGAATACTGCTCGCTTTAATCTACTCGCGAGCCATTCAACACGTGTATCCCGAAGCATCGATAACGGCCCTCTTCGTCTTCGATCGTACCCCCTTAGGGGCATATCTTTCTTACCTACAACGCGTATTTCGCGCAGCCCCGAAGGCAGGGGAGGAGAGGACGGATGGAAGGAAGGGACAAAGAGCATGCGTGTTGCTGAGGCGTGAGTAGCGCATGAATCGCGAGGAAGTCTCGAGCGATAGCGCGATCCCCAAGTACATCGCGAGAAAAGCCAAAGCGAGAGCGTGATTCCTGGGTGTCGAGGGCGCGGCGTATGAATAAGTTGCGAGGAAGTCCAATGCGAGAGCGCGATCCCTGCATCTAGTGTGAGGAAGTCCCACGCGAGAGCGCGATTTGGGGAATAAGTTGTGAGGAAGTATCCGGGGGGGGCCGTTGTTGTTTCAACTCGGGGGCCAGGGGCCGAGTTTGGTGACCCATTTTCCTTTGTAGAAAGCAGGGTGCGAGCTCTGGGAGAAGCACTTCAGTTGAAACATACAATTCGGGTGTTGCTGGAAGTGCCCCTGGCCCAAGGTGCCCCTAGGATTCTCGGGGTGGCCCAGACGGCCTCCAGAGCTCCCCTCACGAGGCCCAGAGGACCCCAGTGGCTCCAAAATGGTGCGAAAAAGCTGGGGGCGCCTTGGGCCAGGGGCACTTCTAGCAACACCCGAACAATGGTTACCGGAGAGGTGGGGTCAACACATTTTTTTTTAGAAATGAGAACTCAACAGCAACAACAACAGTAGCAGCATCAGGTAATAAAGATGTATATACGTATACCCTTATGGGGGTACGATCGAGGACGAAGAGGGCGGGTATCGATGGTTTGGGATATACGTGTTGAATGGCACGCGAGCAGGTAAGAGCGAACAGTCTTCAAACCATTGGTGTTGCTGCTGTTGTTGTTGTTGTTGAGTTCTCATGTCCAGGTGATAAGTGTTGTTGAGGTAGCCGTTGTAACTGTACCATTCAAGTACTTATCCCGGGGCTCGCACCGCGCTGTTTACAAGGGAAAGCGAGGGGTCACCAAACTGCGTGATTGGTCCCCGAACTACAATTCCAACGGCTCCCGCCTGATGCTTCCTCACAACTTATTCCCAAATCGCGCTCTCGCGCGGGACGTCCTCACACTGTATACAGGAATCGCGCTCTCGCGTGGGACTTCCTCGCAATTTATTCCGTCGCTGCGCCCTCGACACTCAAGAAATCAAACTCTCGCTGTGGATTTCCTCACGAGTTATTTGCGAATCGCGCTATCGCTCGAGACATTCTCGCGATTCGTGATGATTCGTGCAGGACGCACGCTTCAGCAACCCGCCTGCTCGACCTGGCCGCCTGGGCCCCGCCTTCCCGACCCTCCCAATAGGGTCTGCCCGCCCGATCTGCCCGTCTGGTTCTGCCACGTGTTTTCTGCTCCTAGCCCCCCTCGTGCTATTCTCTCTAGTGCTCCATCCTCCTCCCTCCCCCTTGTCCCTTCCTTCCATCCGCCCTCTCTTCCCCTGCCTTAGGGGCTGCACGAAATACACGTAACAGCGAAGGAATATAGATACCCCGAGGGGGTACAATCGAAGACGAAGAGGGCGGGTATCGAGGGCTTGGGATATACGTATTGAATGGCCCGCGACCAGATAAGAGCGAACAGTCCGAAAATGGTTGTTGTTGTTGGTGGTGTTGTTGTTGGTGGTGGTGTTGTTGTTGCTATTGATGTTGCTGTTATTGTTGTTGTTGTTGTTGAACATTATTTATTCTAAAGAATAATTATTGTTGGGCCCCCTGGTGCGCGCCCCCCCTGCGCCGCCTAGGCCGCAGCTACATTTTCATCATTTTCGTGAGGAAGCCTCAGGTAAAACGATGTGATCAGATCCGGTTGTTTTGTTCCCCCCCGCTGTCCCTTGCAAAAAACACTATAAAATGACATTTCTTGTTCTAATATAACCAAATTCAAGAATCCCTTGCAAAAAATAAGGTAAAGTGGACATTCGCGCGCGCAAGACGAAATCCTTCCAAAAGCTTAGTGTTCGGAGCGATTTTAACATAAAAACATCAAAAAACCAATGGTTTTTCAACAAAAAAATTGTCAAAATCTCATCCCGCGCGCTCTTGCGGATTCGTAGGAAACCCAACACTTTTTAAACATTTCTGTCAAACGGGCTTTTGCGAGCAACTTTTTCGAACTTCTGCGACAACGGTTGCGCACCTGCCAGGGCCATCATCCCTGTCAAATAATACCATGCGGGACACATTCGTTTTTTCTTCGCGCGCGCACGCCGTCGTCGTCGGCCGCGGGGCCCTGAATAGTAGCCACGGTCGTCCGCATGCCACGAAGTGAAGTGTCCGAACGTCATAGGGCGGGAAGCTGGGTGTGGGTGGTGGCGAAGAGTCGTTTGGAAATTTGGTAGAGCTTGAACCGGCCCCCCCACAAAGTGGGGGTATTGCCCGCCTCCTATGAAAACCCTGGCACTGGTGAGAACGGAGTGTCCCCAGTCTTAAATGATTGTTGTTGTTGTTGTTGTTGTTGTTGTTGTTGTGCTCGTTGTTGCTGTAAGCGGTGGCCAGGGACCCAGCCACAGCCCCAATATTCTCCCTGGTAAACGACAGGGTGCGGGCCCGGGGGGGGGGGGGGCACTTCAATGGAAAGACACGTCTGCTACAGCGAAAGGGGGCATCAACAACGATTATCCTTCAGAAATGTGAGCTTAAAAATGGGAACGACGGCGGCAGCGACGACAAACAACAGCAACAACAGCAAACAAACAGAATCCGGGCCATGGGATCCCACTTCACCCCCGCACCCTGGGATGGCGTAAGACCGTTCGGCCCCCTCACTTTGATCTCATGTCCTCCTCGGCCAGTGCTGGAATAACCTGAGGTGGCCAATGCTTTCTCACTTTGGAGGACCTCTGAACAAATACCATCTTCAAGTTGCCTGTAAGAGGGCCTCAAGAAATTTCAAGACGGCTGAAAAGAGCTCCGGAAGGCTCTAAAGAGTCCTTGCAACGACCCCCCTCATGGCCCAAGATCGCACAAGAGTGACCAAGAACGTTCAGAAGGGCCTTCAAGACGGCTGAGGAAGCTATCAAGACAGCCTCAAGGCGGCCAAGAGGTTGGCGGGATTCCGATGCCGATCCAGTTCATCAGAATCGATCCGATTCTCTCCGATCCAGTTTTTTTTTCGCGGATCCGATTTTGACTTTTCGATCTGACTGCACCCGGCGCGAGGCGGAGGCCGATCGCAAGGCGGATGCCGAGCGCAAGGCAGAGGCCGACCGTCGGGTGGAGGCCGAGCGCTTGTCGGAGGCCATTCGCGAGGCAGGCCTGGGTCCTTGAAGCCTGGGAGTGCCAGACTGAGTGCTGTACAAGAAAACACGGGGCAACATGGCAACGAGCTGGGGCATCGTTAGTGCTTGATTTCTCTCGCTTCGCGGGGTGCACGTCCGGAGCGCGCACAGTCCAGTCGTTGCGGGGTCTCTTGGGAGCTTCTTTGTGGCCTCTTGGAGGTGTCTTGGGGGCTTCTTGGGGCCTCTTCTGCACTGGGCTTCTTTGGGGCCTGTTGGGGGCGTCTTGGGCCGTCTTGGGGCGCTCTTGCGGCGTGTGGCCCATTCGGAGGCCGGTCTCTCGAGGCCGGTCTGGGGCCTCTCGCGGCCGTAATCGCCGCTGCATCGTTATTGCTTGATTTCTTGGACTTACGCCACACTGCCGACCCCTTGGGGAACTGGCGGTTGTTTGCGTGCTGCTCCTGAGGTCCTCTTGTGCTCTCTTTGGAAGCTTCTTGGAGCTTTTGTTGGGGCTTCACGTGGGCCTTTTCAGGGCCTCTTGGGCTGACATTTTCAGTATTCACCGCACGCATGGGGAAACGGGCGAGAGCCTACGTTTCCAGAGGGCGGGCATCTGTCAACACACCAGAAAAGTTATGATCGAATGGCTTTCGGCACATCCCGCCACCGTGCCTGGGTGGCGGGTCTGAGGCCAATCGGATGGCTGGTAGGGGTTTCGTGGGAGGCGTCTCGGGGGGAGGCAGTTTTTGAACCTCTTGGGGACTTCCTGGGGGCCTCTTGGGGGCTTTTTGCTGCCATCTTGGGGCTCCCTGGGGGCCTGTTGGTGGCTTCTTGGGGTAAACCGGAGGCGTCTTGGGGTGGAAAACTCGAAATGTCCGTTCGGGTTCCCCCCTTGGGCCCCCTCTTGGAGCTGTCCTGAGGCCCTGCTGGGCCGTCTTAGGGGCTTCTTGGGCGTGTGCAAGTGGTTCGTAGTGTACGCAGTCATTGCTGTGTACACAGCCACTCTGGTGTGCGCAGGCATTCTGGTGTGCACAGCCGCTGTGGTTTAAGCGCGCACTATGATGTACTGGTATTGCCTTGTGCACAAATATGGTCGTGCACACAGGCCCTGTGGTGTACACAGGCGTTGTGTTGTACACCGACGCTGTGGTGTAAACAAGCACTGTGTTGCACAGATTCACTGGTGTACAGAGGCAATGTTGTTCACACTCGCCCACTTGGTGCACGCAAGCACTGCGGTGTTCACAGGCGCTGTGGTGCGCGCAGGTACCGAGGCGTACATTGTGGTGTGCTCTGGAGGTTCCTCCGCGGGCATTCTGTTGCGCGCACAGACGCTACTTCCGCTGATCGTGGCTGCTTACGCCCCTACGCTGTGCTTAAACGGCTATCCATGACAGGTCTCTACCTAGATGCTAATCCTAGCTGTTCTAGGCTATTCTTAGGCATTCCCAGACGATGCCAGCGCGAAACGTTACGTTGCTGGGTGGGTGGGGTGGCTGTAACCGCCATTATCGTGGGGAATAACAGAACAAGCTCCTGGCACAGAAGTGCGACCCCTGAGTGAAAACACTATTCTGGAATGTCACTTGCGTCGATTTGCATCGGCCTATTGGGGGTGTCTTGTTGAGATCTATTTGGCGAGCAGGACGTCGACGGGCGGTGGGGGGCGCTCGCAATCTAATGCCTGCGTCGCTGTTTTCCCCGTGCAGGTGGCGCCGCTTGCAACCGCATGTTTGCGTGGTAAGTGTTGCGGATGCGCGCGATGACCAACGTGCGTCTTGGGCTTTGCGCGGTTTGTTTTGCAAGCGCAGTTCGCAATGATGATCAAAGACATCGGTTTGCAGTCATGTGTACTTCAGCTGTGACTGTGCGACTTCTTTGTATCTCCGATGCGACATGCGGGCGCTTGAGCGGAATAGGCGCGTGCCAGCAAGCGCACGGTGCACCAGTGGCAGGTGTCCAGACTAGTGCCTCACTTGTTGAGTCCCAAAGACAATCGTGACGACGGTGTGACTTCCGACACATCCGTTGTGCTTATAGTCAGCGAAACGTTCAGGAGACATATCAAAGACGCCTGCGGCGAACCATCGCCGCTCCCTGCCTGTTGGAAAAGGCTTGTGGGCTGCGCAAACATCGGGACTGTCATCGAACAGAAGGCTAGCCCTAGCCGCCCTTGTTCTTGTCCTCCTCCTCCTGGTATTCAGTGCTTTTCGACTTCGATTTCGACTCTGACGCAACGTGTTGTTTCATGTTCTGCGCCACGGGGCGGGCGGGAATCCGATTCGGATCCGATGCGGTGCGATCCGACCCAGCTATCAGCTATCTCCGATCTCTTTTCCTCGCCGATGCGAATGCCCCTTTTCGATCGCACTGGGCGTGGCGCAAGGCGGAGGCCGAGCGCAAGGCGGAGGACAAGCGCAAGGCGGAGGCCGAGCGCAAGGCGGAGGCCGAGCGCCAGGCGGAGGCCGAGCGCAAGGCGGAGGCCGAGCGCGAGGTCCAGGAGAAGATCGAGCAGACGAAGCAGGACTCCAAGACGAACGCGGCCGGGCCGCCAGTTGCTCGAGACGCACGTGCCGTTGGCGACCCGCACCTGCAGAACATCCATGGTGAGCGGTTCGACCTGCTGAGGCCTGGTAATCACGTGTTGCTTCACATTCCGCGGAGAGAGCGTGTCGAGAAGGTGTTGCTCCGTGTGGAGGCCGAGGTGCGTCGCTTGGGCGGGCAGTGCGCGGACATGTATTTCCACGAGCTGAACATCACGGGGGCGTGGGTCCCGCACGGTCGCACAGGTGGTCTTCGTTTCCAGGCGGGTGGCGTGCGCGAGAGGCATCCGCAGTGGCTGAGCTTTGGGAGGGTACAAGTGAAAGTTGCCCATGGGAGCACTCTGCAGGGCGCCCCCTATTTGAACTTTTACGTCAAGCACCTTGGGCATACTGGGTTCACAGTCGGAGGGTTGCTAGGCGAGGACGATCACACCGAGGCAGCAATGCCCTCGGAGGCATGTGCTCACCGCCTTTCACTTCTTCAGGTTGCTGCCCCGAGTGAATACAGTGTAACTGTCTTCCCAGTTGCAGAGGCGAGCTTTGAGTGAATTCACGCGCATGCATGTAGTTCGCATTCTGGTTTCATGGAACAGGCTAGTGGAAGTTCAGCGGAAGCTCAAGGCATGCTGACAGGAATATGTATATATATATAGAGAGAGAGAGAGTTGTTGCAAGAAAGATGTTGTTAAGGTATGGTTGCTACTGGAGGGGCTCTAAGATAACCCAACCACATGACGCAAGGAATACGCGTGGTTCGGAGCAATACGCGAAGTGAGGCGAACGATACATGCAGAGAAACGTTGTCACCAAGCCGTGAGAGCGGTCACACACATACACACACACACACACACACACGCGCGCGCGCACCTAAGCACACGCACACAAACAATGCAATCTCATGTTAGCCAGCGTGGACCCCAAATGGAGCGTTTCTAGCAATCTATGTGGTCAGCTGGTGTCAGTTGTGCAGAACTGGCTGGTCGCTCTGCGCGCGAGCGTGCGCGCGTCAGCGTGGCCGTAGAGATGCGCTAGCGGCTGCATGGGCTTTACAAAACAAGATGCGGCTGGGAAGGTGGGATGGTTGCGCGAGCAGTGGAGTTGACAGTTCATTGGTGACAACGTTCATTGCACCGCACATCTCATGCTACCCAGCTTGCACCACACCGCATGCGCCGCACATCTGATGTATGCGCGGTCTAGGCTTCTACTGTACAGCGCGCACCACACAGCTCACACCACATAGCTTACACCACATAGCTCGCACCACACGGCTTGCATCACAGCACTTGCACCCCATCGATTGCACCGCACCGCTTACGTCACGTAGCTCGCACAATCTGCAGAGCCACAGTGCGAGAACTCTTGCCGTGCGGGGCCCACGCTGGCGGACGTGCCTGAAGGAACAAGAACACAAAGCCAGGGCTGGAGCGTCTTCGCACTGCGGGTGCCCTTCCTACTGTGCGCGCTCTGCACGTGCTTCGCGCTGCAAGGTGCCTGCTTTCCGCATTCTGTGTTCGACGCCCCAGAGTGTGATTCAGAGCGCGCCGTTGACCAGCTTAGCCTTGATTGTTTCCTGGGGCCCCTTGCTCTGGCTCGTCCCTGACGATGTCGTTCTGCAGCGCCACCCGATCATGCCCTTCCCAGGGCGGATCGTCCCAGAGGCCAGAGGGACTGGAGAGGCGGCGTCGTGGGTGCAGGGGAGACCGCCTTCAGTCCCAGAGGAGTTGTGGAGGCTGGCTGGCGCGCGTCGGCCACGATGTTGCATCTGCTTCCGGACCAGGGGCAGCCGATCGCCACTTCTCGCCTCATAGGCTCCGACGCTCTGGCAAGAAGCGTGTCGGCCATGGCGGGCGAGGGCGCACGAGGAGCGCCCGGGGCCGCCGCTTGCCGGTCCATGCGGTGGCAATCTCTGCTCGAGCCATTTGGGCTCCAGGCGCCGCAGATCCGAGCTTGGGAGGACTCTTTCTGGTTTCAGGCCCGACCTCGCTCGTCGCACATCGGGGGCGGGACAGGTCCAGGTCCGCAGCACCGCGGCCCGGATTCCTCGGCCGCGGCTCCACGGATGCAGGGCGGCGCGGCGCGGAGGCCCCGCGCACGGCCCACCCAGGGTAGGGCGTGTCCATGGGATCGAGGTTCGCCAACGAAGACCGTGAGCACGGGGGTATACCACCACCACCACCACCACCTCACCTCCCTCATCCCCTCCCTCTCCCAGGAAAGAGGGAAGGGAAGGGAGGTGGAGGAGGGAGGGGGAATGATGGAGGTGGTGGTGGTGTATATTCCCAGACATCCGACGTCTCGATTTTTTCGAGACGCGGGCCCCCGACCTCCCGAGCACTTCCCTGGGACCGGTTTTTCATCCCGAGTCGTTTTCGACGGTCCCGAGGCCTGGCGAGGGCCCCGAGAGGCCAAAAGCTATGAAAAACCTCGGTCCCGATTTTTTCGAGACGCCCGATGCCTGGGTTGTTGGGGCCGGCAGTGGGGGCATGGATCTGGATGTGCTCGCCGCCTGCCCCACGATGGCGCCCCCGCTCGTGGTGAGGGCGCCGCCCGCCACCCTCCGCATCTGGCTCTGGGCCCTGCAGAGGGCCCCGCGCGAGGCGGGGCTTCCCGCCGAGGTCCTCAGGAACCGGGGGGGGGGGGGCCAGCCGTCGCCTGCTCTTGGATCGAGCCTCCAGCGCGAAGGAGGAGAGGCTGCGGTGCCACAGATCCAACGCACTGGGAAAAGTCAAGCCGCAGGTTTTTCGCAATTTTCCGCCTCAAGGGGCCCTCGCCGGGCCCCGGGACCGTCAAAAAACGACCCAGGATGAAAAACCGGTCCTGGGGAATGGGTCGAGACCTCCGGGGACCCCGCATTGAAAAAATCACGACGTCGGATCTCTGGGACGGGGGCGTTCGTGAAGGAGTGGGCCCAGGAGCCTTCAGACCCAGAACCATCCCTTGTCGGATCGGGGCGGCGGTGATACCTCTGGCCAGCCCACGGTGGGTGTTCCCCCGGCTTGAACCCAGGTCCTGGATTCCTGATGCAAGGGTTTCTTGTCCAATGCCCTCACCGTGCGCGTTTCGCCCCCTGCAGTGGGGACGCGCATCAAGAAACCAGATGCTGTTCCTCAGGGTGCCCCGGGTTTCTTCGCTACGCGCGCTGCGCGGTGACCTCCCGCGTCCGTTGAAGAAGCTGCTGCGTTCAGGGTGCTCTGGGTACCCTCGTGTGCACCTCGCGCGCGGGTTTTCAGGGCGGTGTTGCTTGCGAGGGTCTCTTGCGGCCGCGTCCGCACGGCAGGGGCCCTTCGGGCCGAGTTGCCTACGGTGCGGCGTCGAACGAGCGCATCGACGATGCGACCAGAGGCCGAGCGGAGAGATGCAGTGCACAGTGCCACAGGCCTAGAGGTTGACACCAACACCAATATCGGTGGTGTGCCTCCACCGAGGGAAGAAGACCCCGATCTCGGTGGTGGTGGCAATCTTCTGGCTCCCAAGGTGACCGAAACATTACCACCAACACCGAAACCTAGGATCATCTCCCCCCTGTGGAGGCACCCCTGACTCCAGATCCGCCTTACTTTGTTTTTTTGTTTTTTTTTAACTTAAGATTCCGTCGGAAATCCACCTATAAGAGGCCGAACAAGTAGGGCGGAAATTTCTGCACCCAACATAAAATACGGCGAAAATCCTCAGAAGTAGGGCGGAAACAACAACAGAAACGTAGGGCGGAAATTGGCATCAGCGGAGCTTGAAAAGTAAGGCGGAAATTCCAAGCCTTGCTTACGAATTTCCCAAAAATAAGGCGGATCCGGAGTCAGGCAACCCCCTGTGTTGGTGTTGGTGCCCATTTCCAGGCGTCCAGCAGTGGGGCTTCAATGACCCCCCGCCCGCCCCCCCTGGACCGGAGGCGCGCGGCAGCGGCGAGGCGGAGCCCCACCCCACCTCGGCCCGAGGCTGGGCCCGGCATCTGTATGCGGCAGGTTTGCATCCTGCTGGCGTGGGGCGATCCCACCCTGACTCCGGATCCGCCCTACTTTGGGGAAATTCGTAAGCAAGGCTTGGAATTTCCGCCTTACTTTTCAAGCTCCGCTGATGCCAATTTCCGCCCTACTTTTCTGTTGTTGTTTCCGCCCTACTTCTGTGGATGTTCGCCCTATTTTATGTTGGGTGCAGAAATTTCCGCCCTACTTTTTCGGCCTCTTATACGTGGATTTCCGACGCAATTCTAAGTTGGGAAACAAGCCAACGTAGGGCGGATTTGGAGTCAGGGCAGCGCTGGCGTTCGCGGTGGAACGCCGCCAGTGGCCCAGCGTTCGAAGGCTCCTGAGGGGGGCGGGATCCCCAGGTGGGTCAGGGAGCATCCCCAGCTGGATCCTCACATGTCCTGCCCACGCAGGCCGTTTTGCGCGACTTGTATCTGACCCCACCTCTGGCACTCACCCACCTTTTACGCCCCCCCGAAGACATGGCCGACATGGAACAACCCGGCGCGACCAGAAAGCCGTTGTGGTTCAAGGTTGAACGATCCAGCGCGGTGCCAGAAACCATCGCGCACGTTGCACGACACGAGCTTGCCGTACTTCATTTGTTTTTACAATGATACCGGAGAAAAAATCCAATCATAACCCTTTTAGGCTATGGGGCTATATCGGAGGTGAGGGGGTGAGATCGAAGTGGAACGGAGAGCCCCCCTACCGGGAAATCGATTTCGGTTTCGTGTTCGTGCGTGACGTGCGGGCGAGGCGAAGCTGCGTGGGCGGGCGAGAGAAAGTCTCCTGTGGCTGAGGCGCGGCCGGACCAAATGTCTCCCTTCCGGGCGGCCGGTGGCCCGCGGTGTCCCGCCGGTGTCCCGCTGGTGTCCCGTGTGGCTGAGGCGCGGCCGGACCAAATGTCTCCCTTCCGGGCGGCCGGTGGCCCGCGGTGTCCCGCCGGTGTCCCGCTGGTGTCCCGTGTGGCTGAGGCGCGGCCGGATCAAATGTCTCCCTTCCGGGCGGCCGGTGGCCCGCGGTGTCCCGCCGGTGTCCCGCCGGTGTCCCGCCGGTGTCCCGTCGTGTCCCGATGATGATGATGATGATGATGATGATGATGATGATGATGATGATGATGATGATGATGATGATGATGATGATGATGATGATGATGATGATGATGATGATGATGATGATGATGATGATGATGATGATGATGATGATGATGATGATGACGTCGATTGTGAGATCGATTGTGATATCGATAGTGAGACCGAATGTGAGATCGATTGTGAGATCGATAGTGAGATCGATTGTGAGATCGATAGTCAGATCGATTGTGAGATGATGATGGTGATGATGGTGATGATGGTGATCATGATGGTGGTGATGATGATGAAGACGTTGATGATGTTGATGATGATGGTGTACCGATGACGATGATGTTGATGATGATGTTGATGATGGTGATGATGATGTTGATGATGATGGTGTCCCGATGATGATGATGATGATGATGATGATGATGATGATGATGATGATGACGTTGATGATGATGTCGATGATGATGATGGTGTCCCGATGGTGATGATGATGATTATTAACCGCATGCCGATGATAATAAAGGGACCCCCCCCCCCCCCCCTTCAGTGTTTAGAGTTGATTATCGTCGCCCTATACAAAATTCAAATTGGGCGGCGAGCGCTGAGGCCGAACTTCATTATCACCTCGAAACGCTATGTTGAGATAGCAACATCAAGCGATGTTGCTATCCCCGCGCGCGCCTGAACTTTTTTATCTCTGGGGTTGATTATCCATGGAAAGGGGAGCACATGAGCTACCCTACATGAGCACTTTAAAACATTAATTTTCATAAAGCGTTTGTAAATCAAAATTGATAGATTTGGAACTTTCCATTTTTCCGTTCTTCTTCTCTTCTTCTTTTCTTCTTCTTCTCTTCTTATTATTATTCTACTTTCCTCTTCTTCTTTTATATTTCTATTTGTCCTCACGCTCGCCTGAACTTTTTTATCCCTGGGGTTGATTATCCAAGGAAAATGAAGCACATGAGCTACCCTACACGAGCACTTAAAAAAACAATTTTCATAAAGCGTTTGTAAATTAAAATTGATAGATTTGGAACTTTGGATTGTTCCTTTCTTCGTCCTCTTCTTCTTCTTCTTCTCTTCTTCTTCTTTCTTATTATTCTTCTACTGTATTCTTCTTCTTTTATATTTCTCTCTGTCCCCACGCTCGCCTGAACTTTTTTATCTCTGGGGTTGATTATCCATGGAAATTGAGGCACATGAGCTACCCTACACGAGCACTAACAAAAAAACAATTTTCATAAAGCGCTTGTACATAAAATCTAATAGATTTGAAACTCGAGATTTTTTCTTCTCTTCGTCCTTCTCCTCCTCCTATCATTTCTTTTAATGTTATTCTTTTTTATTTTTATTTTTCTTTTTTATATATAGCTTCCTCCATTCCAGCGAGATAAGCCATCGTTGAGGATATTTCTATGAAAACTAAACGCCAAGGATGTCTCAAAACGTGCTCGGCTTGGTCTCCTCTGGATCATCTCTTACTTGGAGATTATGCTGAGGTCTGCTGGGATACTTTTATTATCTCTCCCTGAACCCCGAACTTTATTATCCCCTAGTGTTTATTCTCACGGGCATGAGGTTATGTTGATGATGATGATGACGATGCTGGTGTCCCGATGATGATGATGATGATGATGATGATGATGATGCTGATTATGATGACGATGACGATGTTGAGGATGATGATGAGATGATGATGATGGTGTCCCGGTGATGATGGTGTTGATGATGATGTTGATTATGATTATGGTGTCCCGATGATGATGACTATGATGGTGATGATGATGATGATGATGATGATGATTGATGATTGATGATGGTGATGATGATGGTGTCCCGATGATGATAATGATGATGATGTTGATGATGACGATGTTGCTCGTCGTGACACCGGCGGTTGTGATGATGTTGATGATGCCTGAAGATCGATTGTGAGATCGATTGTGGGATCGATAGTGAGATCGATAGTGAGATCGAATGTGAGACCGAATGTGAGATCGACTGTGAGATCGATTGTGAGATCGATAGTGAGATGGACAGTGAGACCAACTGTGAGACCGAATGTGAGATCGATGGTGAGATCGGTTGTGAGATCGATAGTGAGATCGATAGCGAGATCGATAGTGATATCGATAGTGAGATCGAATGTGAGATCGATTGTGAGATCGATAGCGAGATCGATTGAGTGAGACGTTGGTTCCCCCTCCCCCCTCACCTCCTTATCACCCGCAGGGTGGTCGTATAGGTAGGGCTACAGGGCTATGAGGCTATGGGGCCATGAGGCTATAGGGCCATAGGGCTACAGGGCTATAGGGCTTATATGGGACTACTATAGGGCCATAGGGTTATAAGGCTATAAGGCTATAAGAGTTTAGGGCTATAGGGCGATTAGGGCGAATATGGCTATATAGGGCTATAAGGCTATAGGGCTATAGTAAGGCTGTAGGGCTATAAGGCTATAAGGCTGTAGGTCAGGGCTATAAGGCTACCAGGCACCCAGGCAATCCGGGCACCCCAGCACCCGGGCACCCGGGCTATTTGGCACCCGGGCACCCCGGCACCCGGGCACCTGGGCACCCGGGCACCCTGACTCCGGATCCGCCCTACTTTGGGGAAATTCGTAAGTAGGGCTTGGAATTTCCGCCTTACTTTTCAAGCCCTGCTGATGCCAATTTCCGCCCTACTTTTTTGTTATTGTTTCCGCCCTACTTCTGTGGATTTCGCCGTATTTTATGCTTGTTCGGCTTCTTACAAGTGGGTTTCCGACGCAATTTTAAGTTGGAAGAAAACCCAAAGTAGGGCGGATTTGGAGTCAGGGCAGCCAGGCACCCGGGCACCCGCCTGGGCACCCGGGCACGCAGGCACCCGGGCGTGCCGCCGAAATCGGTGCGGTACCTCACCTAACCATATGAATCCGCTAGGACCCTACAGAGGCAAGCTCTGATCGGGGAATATCATGCATGTCGGGAATTTGTTCGGACATACTGTCTAGTACACGGCATATGTTTTCGGGTTGAACTAGAACAAAATGCCCATTGTCTTGTGTTGGCGTGAATTCCTTACATCGAAAAGGAAGTCTTTCTTTCCGACAATTAACATCAAGTAGTGGTAGGTGTTTGTTTGGCGCCCTCCTCCAGCGGCGTGCCCAGGGGGTAGAGAAAAGGAGCACGCTTTCTCACAAGGCGGCGGGGCTTCTCAGAAGCCCTCGCGCCCTCTGAGAAGTTTCCTGGGGAAGCGATCAGACAACTTTTCAGAAGGCCGGAGGCCTTCCGAGCCTTCTCAGAAGGTCCGCCCCCGCTGACTTCCCCACTGGGCTCGCCGCCGAGAGAAGGTCGGGCTCCGGGTCGAGCCGCATCGCCGGTGTGCCGGGGATGCCCCTCGACGCTTTCCCGTTTGAGTCGTCGTCTCGTCGTCGTCGTCGCCCTCCCTTCTGGCTCCGCCTCGCTCCCCCCCCCCGTGACGCGCCGCCGGCTCCTGCCAGGAGCATCGTGGGCTTCCTGACGCCGTGGTTCTTCTTCGACCTGGACGCGGCGATCGCCGCCGCCGTGCGCGGCGCGCGGGGGGGGCTCGCGGAGGTGGTGCTGCAGAGGATCCCGGGGGGGGGGGGCACGAACGTACCGACACATGGAAGTTGGCAGAAGTTAGGGGAACAAAAACTGGCATAAACATACAAACTCGGAGGTCCGCGCGGATTTCTCGGATCGGCGCTGGACCCCCCTCCCTGGCGCGCGGAGCGCGCCAGGGGCGGCGCCGGAGGCGCCGCCGGGGGGTCCCAGCGCCGATCTGAGAAATCCGCGCGGACCTCCGAGTTTTTATGTTTATGTCATTTTTACCTAACAGCGAAGACTGATAGGTTTCTAATGGTCTCAAAGAAAGCATCTTGACTCCTCAGGGGGGTCTGGGCAGATGCCGGACGGGTGCCCGGGAGAATCCGCGGAAGTCGTTTTAAACAAACAGTTACACACTTCGTGGTCTTCGAGGTCCCGGAACTCCATTCCCGGGCCACATTCTGAATGCCCGGAGCCAACTGTAGGCCATTTCGTGCTCTTCGAGTTCCCAGAACTCCATTCCCGGGCCACATTTTGAATGCCCGGAGCCCACTGTAGGCCACTTCGTGCTCTTCGAGTTTCCAGAATTTCATTCCCGGGCCACATTTTGAATGCCCGGAGCCAACTGTAGGCCACTTCGTGCCCTTCGAGTTCCCAGACATCCATTCCTGGGCAACATTTTGAATGCCCGGAGCCAACTGTAGGCACTTTGTGCTCTTCGAGTTCCCAGAACTCCATTCCTGGGCATGATTTTGAATGCCCTGAGCCAACTGTAGGAGGATCAGGGGCAAGAGCACGAGGAGGAGGAGGAGGAGGACGAGCAAGACGAGGAGGACGAGGACGAGCACGAGGAGGAGGAGGAGGAGGAGCAGGAGAAGGAGGACGAGCAGGAGGAGGAGGAGGAGGAGGACGAGCAGGAGGAGGAGGAGGAGGAGGAGGACGACCAGGAGGAGGAGGAGGAGGATGGAGGGGAGGAGGAGGAGTGAGGAGGAGGAGGAGGAGAGGAGGAGGGGAGGGGGAGGAGGAGGAGGAGGAGGAGGAAAAGGAGGAGGGGAGGGCGGGCCGGCTGCCCCGGCCGGCTGCCCGGCCGGCTGCCCCGACCGGCCACATTTTCAACGCCCGGAGCCAATTGTAGGCCACTTCGTGGTCTTCGAGTTCCCAGAACTCCATTCCTGGGCATGATTTTGAATGCCCGGAGCCAACTGTAGGCCATTTCGTGTTCTTCGAGTTCCCAGAACTCCATTCCCGGGCCACACTTTGAATGCCCCGTAGCCATTTTGTGTCTTCGAGTTCCAGAACTCATTCCGGGCCACATTTTGAATGCTGAGGCAGGCTGATGCTGAGGCTGAGGCAGGCTGAGGCAGGCTGAGGCTGAGGCAGGCTGAGGCTGAGGCCGAGGCTGAAGGCAGACTGAGGCTGAGGCTGAAGCAGGCTGAGGCTGAGGCTGAGGCAGGCTGAGGCTGAGGCTGAGGCAGGCTGATGCTGAGGCAGGCTGAGGCTGAGGCTGAGGCTGATGCAGGCTGAGGCTGAGGCAGGCTGAGGCTGAGGCCGAGGCTGAAGGCAGACTGAGGCTGAGGCTGAAGCAGGCTGAGGCTGAGGCTGAGGCAGGCTGAGGCTGAGGCTGAGGCAGGCTGAGGCTGGCTGAGGCAGGCTGAGGCTGAGGCTGAGGCTGAGGCTGAGGCAGGCTGAGGCTGAGGCTGAGGCTGAGCCGAGGCTGAAGAGACTGAGGCTGAGGCTGAAGCAGGCTGAGGCTGAGGCTGAGGCAGGCTGAGGCTGAGGCTGAGGCAGGCTGATGCTGAGGCAGGCTGAGGCTGAGGCTGAGGCTGATGCAGGCTGAGGCTGAGGCAGGCTGAGGCTGAGGCCGAGGCTGAAGGCAGACTGAGGCTGAGGCTGAAGCAGGCTGAGGCTGAGGCTGAGGCAGGCTGAGGCTGAGGCAGGCTGAGGCTGAGGCTGAGGCAGGCTAAGGCTGAGGCTGTGACTGTCGACTGCCGTTGCCACTGCGACTGTCATCGCGAATGCGACTACGACTGCGAGAACAGCAGAATTCTACAACTGGATTATCATCTGAATCTTAAGGGGAATGCTTCCAGATATGCTCCTACACATCGCTGTTAGGTTGCTTTGCCGGGATAATTTGTTCCCCTCGAAGTGACCGGGGCCAGCCCTTCCACCCCTTCCAGCCCTGGCGAGAGTTGCTTCCAAATCATGCTGTCCAGCCCTGGCGACCGCCTCCCTAATTACCGTTTCAGGCTCGTCTTTCGCCCACGGCCAGCCTTTCCAGCCCTGGCCACTTCCACTTGCACTGCCTTTCCAATTTCCACTTTTTCCAGCTTCCTTGTGCTGCTGCGTACGCCTCGAGTGCGTCGGAACTCTGGCGGTTTCCGATGCTTTGCTCTGGCGGGCTCGTCCTGGGTTTGGGCGGTCCGGTTCCGGTTTTTTCGTGGGACGTCTGCAGCGGGAGCCTGCGTCAAGTTTCAGATTGGGTCTCGTCTTCTCTTAATTCAGCCAAGCGCAAGAGGGGGTAGGGGGAGGGGGGAAGGCTTCTTAGAAGCACCCCTGGTTCTCAGAAGGCGCAGGCCTTGTCTGCAGATGCTAGGCCCGCGCCTTCTAAGAAGCAGCCTCCCTTTAAGAAGCCTTCCCCCCTCCCCCTACCCCTCGCGCGCGCCGCCAATTGACGGCCCCGGCAGGCCGACCCGAGTCCCCTGAACCCGAGTCTTACGTCTCCCCGACAGACCTTTCCCGGGGTGCGTTCTGGCCAGAAGTTTTCTAGGCCTCCCAAATGGGGTCCGAGCAGATGGGGTCGAAGGATCGGTCCGCATCGACGGTGCATCGACGATGCGGGTCGACGTGGAGCCAGAGTTTCTCCACGCCGATGGCGCCGATGCACCGCCGACGTCGCCGATGCACCGCATGCGGTGCAATCCTCCGACCCCATCTGCTCGGACCCCACCTGGGGGGCCTAGAAACATTCTGACCCCTTCTAGGAGGCTGCTAATTCTGACCATACCGTCGAGGCGAACCAAACTCGGGGGGCCCCAAACGGTTTGGGGACCACACCGTGTGGCGAGGCAGTGGGCATGCGGGGTCGCCGCACGGTCTGGGGACTTGGGGTCGCTCGCCGAGGACGTTCCGGGCAATCGGGGCCTCCAGGGTCCCAAAGACCGTGCGGTGAGGGACCGCGCGGCGAGGTCTCTTGCGGGGGGTGCGAGGTCACCGCGCGGCCTGTCGCCGCGCCGACCCCCCGCGGGCCGTGGCCACGAGGCAGGGGTGGCGGCAGCGGCATCCGCCCCCTCTCCCTGCAGGACGTGGACGATGCCGAACCCGACGCACGCCGCCCTCGTCAACCCCGCCGTCTGGGGGCAGCCACGGGGGGGGGGCACCACCGCTACGCTGACACGCACCGATCCTGGGCCCACAGCGCCCTCCGCGAGACTCTTGGCATCGCTCGGACGTGTGCCTTTTGCCTTCGGCGAGGACCATCGAGGAGCATCCTTGATCATTTGGCGAAAAAGCCACGCACGAAATCGAAAGAAGCACAGGGAATGGACGCCCGAGCTATGGCCAGGACTTCGGGCAAGCTTTGCCGACCCCCCCCCACTTTGCCCCCAGCTGTAAGTCGGGCGTGTCCCCCCTACAGGGGGATTTTGGGCGGAAGATAAAAGATGCTCAGAACATACCCCCCCCCCCCAAATGGGCAAACAAAGTCAACAAAAATCGTCCCCAGACTATTTTTTGACTCTTTTTGAACATTCCTCCTGTAGAGGGACAGGCCCGACTTACCCCCAGCTTCCACGTGCAGTGGCGCGTGCCGGCACGGTCTGCGGACGCCGACGGGCAAGACGAGGCCACCCGTTGCGGCATCGGCACGGAGGTCTCGGGGTCCGGGGGAGCCGACGCGGCGCAGGAAGAGCTCGGCTCAAGCCTCGCGGAGGGATGCAGGATCGGTGCATGTGCGCGGGGCCGGGCCGGCGGGTAGAGGGTGGGCGCGAGGGGGGAGGGGACGCGCACGGAGGAGGAGCGAGGAGGATCGAGAGTCGAGGAGGATCGAGGAGGACCGTGCATTCCTGCCCGGGCCAGGGGGGGGGCGTTGGCACCGGTCCTGGGCCCAGGGCCGGGGCAGAATGCCCTCCTGCCCAGGCCAGGGCGAGGCGCGTATGGCCAAGGCGCTGCAAAGCGAGGACCACCTGCAGCCTCAGGGGGGGGCTCGGGCGTGCGGGCCGTTCCCGGAGGCCTCGGCCGGAGAGAGCCTGTGCGTGGCCGAGGCCCGCCGTTGCCAGAAGAGCCCCCCATCGTTCCTTCTGCAGCGCCCGTTTGCTCCCCCTCCCTCCTCCCTCCTCCCTCCTCCCTCCTCGTCCTCTCCTCCTCCTCCTCCCTCCTCCTCCTCCTTCCTCTCCTCCTCCTCCCTCCTCCTCCTCCTCCTCCGCCTCCCCCTCGCTCCTTGACTCTAGGCCTCCCCAGATGGGTTCCGAGTACATGGTGGGAGATCGCGCCGGGGGGATCGCCGATGCATCGGCGATGCGGCTCGATGTGGGGCCCTATTTTCTCCGCGCCGACTTCGCCGATGCATCGCCGCCGTCGCCAGTGCATGGCCGATGGATCATTGATGCATCGGCGATGCATCCCCGATGCATCAGCGATGTGGCGAGATCTTCCGACCCCATCCACTCGGAACCCATCTGGGAGGCCTCTAACAGTTGTACACGGCCTAGGGATGAGCCTGGCCACGGTCCCGCTGCAGAGGTGTGTGTGTGTGTGTGTGTGTGTGGAGGTGGTGCCCCTCCAGGCAGGGCGGCTACGTGTCGGCGCGCGTGCCGAAGAGGGCCCGGGTGGTGCTGAGGGCCGAGCGGGGCGGAGGTGCTGCGGAGGCGCCGCGCCTCAGGACTTGGAGGGTAGAGCCTATCTTCTTTCGGGGAGCAAGCAGTGACAGAGACATAAAAACTCCGAGGTCCGTGAGGATTTCTCGGATCCGCGCTGGGCCCCCCTGGCGGCGCCTCCGGCGCCGCCCCCGGCGCGCAGCGCACATCCAAGAAATCCGCGCGGAATTCAGAGTTTTTATATGTATGTAATTTGTTGTTCCCCTATTATTTTAGAAGACCGTTATCTCGGGCCTATGCCAACAACAGCCGCTCTCATTTTCTGGTCTCTGCAGACACATGGGGTGTCGTTACGTATGCAGACACCTTCGGGGCTTGTACGTCTACATACAGCGCGGCCGCTGCGTCCGACGCAGTACAAGGTCGGAGCAATAGTAGATCCGTCTACGGTATGTTCCTGTTCTAAAGCCGCAGGTTAGCCAGCGTGGATCCCAAAGAGCATGTTTCTAGCATTCTATGTGGTGCAATATACGTGGAGCAAACTATGTGCTGCAATCTATGCGGTGCAATTGATTTTAACAAACGGGTTGACACATCCCACGCTCTTGCAAACATCCCACCCACCCACCCGCAACTTGGCTTGCAAACCCATCTGGTGACGATTGCAATGAGTGTTTGGAGTTAGCTGGCCCATCTCTGCGGCCGCGCCAACCCAAGCGCGCGCGCGCGCAGCGGCCAGCTATTTTGGCGCGACCGACGCGGCCGCGATGGCGCTGACTGCTGGGCACATCCCAGCTGGGCGACGACACCGACGACGTCTCCAACGACTTCGACACCGCCGCCGACGACGACGACAACGATGACAACGACGACGACGATGACGACGCCGCCGACGACGACAACGACGACACCGACGACGACGACGACGACGTCAACGACGCCGACGACGACGACGCTGACGTCGACGACGCCGACGTCGACGACGACGAAGACGACGCCGACGACGACGACGACGAAGACGACGACGACGTCGCCAACGAGGACGGCGACGAGGGAGGAGGGAGGACGACGACGGCGACAACGACGACAACGACGACAAACGAAGAGGGAGGGGGGAGGACGGCGACGACGCCCCCTGGTGGGGGTGAAAAAAAAAAAAAAAAGAAAAAAACGAACACGAGGAAGGAGGGAAGGACTGCGAAGGTCCTCCAAAGGGAGGGCGACGAGGGAGGGAGACGACGACGACGACAACGACGACGACGACGACGGCGACGAAATAGGAAAGACGACGACGAGACGCCGACGACGGACGACGACGACGACGACGACGACGAGGGAGGAGGAGGAAGGACGACCACGGCGACAACGACGACGGAAACGACCACGACGCCAAAGAGGACGACGACGACGACCACGAGGAACGACAGAGGACGACGTAGGCGACGACGACGACGACGCGGGAGGAGGGAGGACGGCGACGACGACGACGACGATGACGCAAGAGCGCGCGCGCACGCTTTTGTTGAAAGTCCGTGTTGCGAAACCTTGTGTTTTTGTAGGTTTTTGGACACACGATTTTGAAATCCTTCCGAAACCGATGGGTTTTCAAGGATTTCGGCATACGCGCGCGACGACGCGCGCGTCTGCACTTCGTCCCGTTTTTTGCAGAGGGTTCTCGCGACGGCACGCGCGCAAGGGCGTTCGACAGATTTCGACATTCGCGCGCGCGAAGCCCGTTTGGTAGCGTTTTGCGAAAATCTTGAAAAACCAATGGTTTTCTTAAAATTTCGCAACAGCTCGCGCGGAAGCTGTTTTAGCAAATCAGTGTTGCGAAGCCCTGTGTTTTTGTATGTGTTTTGGGAACTCGATTGCGAAATCCTTCCGGCACCGAAGGTTTTTGAAGGATTTCGGCATGCACGCGCGACGACGCGCGCGTGCACATGTCGTCCAATTTTTTGCAAGGGATTCGCGAAAAAGTGCTATGTTAGAACAACAAATGTCACCGCATAGTGTGTTTTTACAAGGAACCCTCAGGGGACAGGATACCGATTGGCATTTGACATTGTGATTTCATATTCAGGATGGTGTGGTCAGAATCATATATGATTTACTTACCCGAAAGGGGGACCGATAATGCCGGGGGGGGGAGATCCTATTCCGTTTTTAGAAAGGAGAATCTGCGTGGTGCAATCTACGCGGTGCAGTCCTCCAGTGCTCAACTTGACGTTGCCCACCCCATTTGTCGAGCAAACATCCCCCCTACCCACCCGCAACTTGGTTTGCAAACCCCATGCGGCGGCGATTGCGATGAGTGTTCGGCGCTGGCTGGTGCATCTCTGCGGCCGCGACAGCCCGCGCATGCACGCGCGCGCAGCGGCTGGCTACTTTGGCGCGACCGACACAGCCGCGGTGGTGTTGACCGCTTGGCACATCCCAGCGGGCACTTCAGTGCGAAGCGGCGATTTGGGCGGGCGCGGTATCATGGCAACGTCGACAACGGTAAACACGGTGATGTTCGCAACCGATGTTGGCAGCGACGACTGCACGGTCAGTGACGGCGTGGATGCTGAGCACGCCAGCGACGATGACGGCGTTCTCGCGTCGGCGATGGAAGTTTTGGAAAGAGGTCGAAATGCGCGCGCGGCCGACGCGCGAGAGGCGAGGTATATTTGACACGGGTCGTGCCCCCAGCACGCATGATTTCGGCATGCGGCGCCAGAGGCCATGTGGCAGAATTCGATGAACATGTTGAAAAAAAAAAAAAAAAAAAAAAAAAAAAAAAAAAAAAAAAAAAAAAAAAAAAAAAAAAAAAAAAAACGTGTTACATGCATTTAAAAAAGTTGCAAGAGTGCGAGCGCACGCTTTTCTTAGAAAGCGGTGTTACGAAATCATGTGTTTTTTGTTTGGTTTTGGGACACTCGAGTGTGAAATCGCTACGACACCGAAGATTTTTGATTGATGTCGGCATGCGCGCGCGACGAATCGCGCGCGTGCTCTTTTTCATTTGTTGCAGTGAGTTCTCGCGACGGCACGCGCAGAAATGGCGTTCGAACAATTTCGACAAGCGGCCGCGCGAAACCCGCGTGGTTGTATGTTCCCGATTTGTTTATTTATAAAATCTTGTTCGAAAGAATTAGCTAGAGCGCGCCATTTTTAAAAAAAACATAAACAGATTTCGGTATGCGCGCGCATTTCGTTTGATTTATTGCAAGGGAGAATTAAAAACTTATGATTTTCGATAAACGAGCGCGCATATTATATTTGTGCAGAGGATGGCGGGGGGCGGCGATACCAGTTGGGTTGGGATAGTATGAGATCATATTTCGAATGGGCGATGGGGCAAAATAGTATGTAAATTGCAATGTGACAAGGGGCGGATAATCCCGGGGGTGTGTACAGTCTATCACTGTTCAACAAACGAATGACAATCTGTGCGAGGTGGCGACAAGACGGCAACGGAGCGGCGACGGGGAACACGGCGCCGCCAGACCGACAATCGGGCCCACACGACGGGCGGCGATAAGGCGACGATCGGGCGGCGACGGGGCGGCGACGGCGGGCACGGAGCCGCCACACCGGCATTCAGGGCCAGTTCCCGAGAAAAGGAAATACTTACCCCTAGGTGCAAGCACTCTTCGGGGAACAAAGACGTCACGCCCTGAGCGTGCCCACTCTCCCGTCGCTTCCGCTGTACCCAATTCGGCACCATAGTGTTTGTCTAAGAGAAAAAGAAACTCCTGGTCTAAAGCAGGTCCCACATGGTATAGCCCCAGCTGACGACAGGGATGGGCATTATTTCCAAAAGCACCCCTGTATCCTTGCTTCTCGGGTCCATCCTTCACCACTTCCGATGGCCAGCCCCGCTCGAGGAGCCTCGACATGGCTTTCCAAGGCCCTTGCCTCCTTATCGCGCACCCCAGTCAGGAGACATGTCCTTTTGAGGTACGGGGCAAGAATCCATGCGGTTGCCCGCCGCGCCAGCCTGGTCTAAACATAACACTCATGTGGTTGAAGGGAGCAGAAAGGGGCAAACACAGTTCTGACTGTGATTCAGCCCAGGATACACGCCCCAGACGCGGCCGCTAGTTGCGCGCTCCTGGGCCTCGGGGAGGGCGCGCAGGTCACCGTTCGCGACCTGTCGCTGGAGGTGTTCCATCCGCGCGTCCACAAGGCAGCGGAGGCCTCCAAAAGTTAGGCCTTCGTCCACGAGGAGGCCGTCTGGCCTCATGGGTTTCACTGCGAGGGAAGAAGTGGAGGGCCCGCAGCGTCCTGCCGCTTTCCTCATCTCGAAGCCGTTGTGCGTCGGACCCACGTCAGGTTTACATCGCGTACAGTCGAGACTGATTCGCAGATCGACCCTGAGATTCCCGACCCGTGCCTTCTTACATGCCTGTAACACTGTGGCCTCGGACGGGTCTTGCGTCCTCTCGCGCGTGCTCTCCAAGCCACCCCGACCGCAGAGGAGGAGGACACGCCGCCCAGACGGCTTGCCCTGCAGGCCAGCTTGTGCTCCGTCTCTTCGGCTGGTGCTGTCCGGGGAGACCAAATCAGAGGAGGAAGAGGCACCGAGGCCCGCTGCCCGTCCCTCGCCTTCGCCCCGTCTGGGCCTCCCGAGAGGCCCCCGTCGCCACGACTGCACCCGCCTCGAAATCTGGGTCAGACCGCACCCCCCCCAGAGAGGTCCGGGGAGCAGCAGCATCGGCACCTCCGAGTTTCCCCACGGACGGTGCGGTGACCAAACCGTGTGGCGAGTCGGTGGGGGTTCGGGGTGACCGCACAGCCTCGAGCCTCGGGTCGTCTCTCGAGGACATCTCGGGCGACGCGGGGCCTCGGGGGTCCTGAGGCCGTGCGGCGAGCCACCGCGCGGTGAGGTCGGAGGATCGCG